TTTTTACAACTGTCATTTCATCCCAGCATTTTTTACCTCCTTCAAATTTTTTCTTTACGAGTACAAAACGGCCTTCGGGATCGTACCAGCAAGCCGCTCCAAAGCACTTCGTTTTTCGAAGTTATTAAAAAGTAAACAAATTAATGCGCATTATCGTAAAAAAGCAGGATGTTTTGAGGTTGTTTTGACGCGATAGGCCCGGCGATAGCGTCAGAGAGATAGTGTCTGTGCGATAAGTCTTAGGTTTAGTACTGCGTCACCACACCCTTCGATATGCATATTGTAAGAAAAGTTATCTATAGTAGTGTGGTTTATAAAGTAAATGATTATTTGTTCATCCTTTTTATAGATATTGTTTTGAATGGACATCCATACATGTCTTTTCTTGTTATTTCCATGCATTTATGACCAAGAAGAAGGGGAAAAATGCTTTATGTATAAGAGCGACATAATGTTTATGATGAATACAGTAATGATAATAATGGTAATAATGAGAATGATCATGGTAATAATTAAAATAATAAAGATAATGATAATGATAATGATAATAATAATGTCAATAACAATAATAATAATGATAATAAAACAATGCCGATAACAACAACAATAATAATTATAATAATAATAAGAATCATAATAATAAGACCTTGCACCTGCAATTAACCTCTATCAGAATGAATTTCATTTGAACAAAGGTTCATAAAGGTAATATCCTACCTTCCACTCATTTGGAAGCTACTTACGAGTGACATTGCAGAAGAAATGTACAAGGACTGCAAAAGAAGAAACACGAACTTGATAATGTCGGGTTGATTGAAAGAAAGCGTTCGACATGGCGCCTCACTCCTGGGATGCTGAGTGCTAAAACTTTTTTTTCGGTGTAGCAAACAACGCTAAGACCTTCCTACCGCGCGATATGGAGGAGTGGAGGACGGAAGCGACGGGCCCGCGGGAATTCTTTGGGTGCGAATATATTGAGGGATATTTCAGGGTGATGGTCTCTCCCCTTTGGTCCCTGTAGGTTGCACGGTGCCACTGTGGATGGTACTGGAGAAAACGGCCGCTGGATACGAGTGGGGCAAAGAGCGCTTCAAGGTCAACCGCCCCCTGGATGACCTGGAACTATTCGGGAAGAACCGTGAACAGGTTGACTCTCAGGTGCAGCATTTTCCAACCATGGGGTCGGCAAGCGTTTTTCCTGGGGTTGCTAAGACTTCAAAATATCAATTGCGGTCAATTCTCAATTTTGAGAGGTTTTCAACCGATAGGTAGTCACATATAAAGAAAATATAACCGTGATAGATTTTTGTTTATGGAATTGTTTGTATGTTTATTGAATAATATAAATATAATGATATGATATAAGCCTATACATTGTAGAACTGACTGGGGTTGCGGTCAAGATTGGAGGTGTATGGTTGGGGTCGCCTTAAAAAGGTTGGGAACCACTGCCCTTGTGCAAACAGCGCTCATGTTTAGTAAGGACGGAGGCGTGGATTTTGGTTTGCGAAAATGTAGAGTACTGTGTGTAATAAGAGGCAAATTAGTGACTTAGGAAATACATCTTTTTGATATAGAATTCACGAAGGAGATAGACGAGAAGGTGTATGAATACTTATACATGTTAGTGACGGATAAGATCAGGGCAAATAAAATGAAGGAAGCATTCAGAAGAGTACAAATGAAGGTTGAAATCGATCCTTAAGTCAAAGCAAAATGGGAAAAACAAAATCATCAATAAACACATGAACAGTTTCTGTGTTACAATGAAAAGGAGGAACATTGAAGTGACTCCTGACTGAGCTTCAGATGCTAGACAGAAAGACGAGTAAAATGTTGAACATGCACAGTGAGTTCCATCCAAAGAATGACGCCAAGAGACTGTACAAGATTAGTCGGATGTGAACAATTTACAGCAAAGGAAGAAAACAACCCGGGAAGCTCTTGGGAAATCTGGCGAAAATCTGTTGCAAGGAATCAGGGAAATAAGAGTATTGCAAATCGTAAGCTGTGTAAGGAAGGAAGATGAACAAAAGTTAGCTAACTGGAGAGGGAAGATGTATGGCCAATTTGTTATGGATATGAATGATAAAACAACCGATTACGAAAAAAAAAACATAGTAACGGATGAGGAAAGCAGACCACAAAGTAGAACGGAAGCCCTCAGACCCAAGTATGTAGAGAACAAAATTGACAAGACCGCAGACTCCTCCTTATGTAGGCTATGTGGAGATGTGAAAAACTGGCTCAGAGAGAATAAGAAAGACACCAGGATAATGTTAAAATTATCAATTTGTGAAGGATTCAGTCTAGATCGAACAAATAAATTGTATAAACACAGCCCTCAGTCACTTACGAAAGCATAGATGTGAAACTCGTCAATGTCACTGCCGATAGAAGACCCGATATACTCATTGTAGACAAGAGGAATTGTTTGCAAAATCACTGACACTTCTGTACCATGAGACAACAAAATGCTAAAAAAAGACCAGGAAAAATGAAAAACACCAGGACCTAAAAAAAGAAACAAAAAGATTGTGGGAAACTGACAAAATAGTAGTTGGGGTCGAAGGAACTGTAGCAAAGAAACCTGACAACTGGCTGATAATAAAAATAATGATGATAAAAATAAGAATGATAGTAATAATAATAATGATAATAACCACGTTATCTTTATAATAATAATGATAATAATTCATAAAAGGAAAACGATAATGCTAACACCAACATCACTGACAACAATCCCCCCCCCCCTGTCCAGACAAGCTCCTGGGCTGCGGTGCCTTCGGGCGCGTCTACCGAGCACAGCTGGAGATACCGGACACGGGCGCCCCCCCTGCCACAGTGGCCGTCAAGATGGTGAAATCCCGCAAGGACAAAGTGCAACTGAACGCCTTGCAATCGGAGCTCAAGATCCTCATCCACATCGGGCAACATGTCAACATCGTCAACCTGGTGGCCGCTTGCACCAAGAACCTGCACACGAGGGGTGAGCCTTGTTGAATGTGATTTGTATTATTTGAGTTTTTTTTTTCGTTTGCGTGTGTAGTTTATTGCGTGTTCTTTTCATTTCTTTTTCTAGCTGTGTGTTTTTTTTGTTTTATTTAATTTTTTGTTTATTCATCAGGAAAAAGATAATTTTTTTTCTAGCTGCGTATTTCTTTTGTTATATTTCATTTTTGTTTATTTATCCGGAAAAAGAAAGAGCTTTTCGATTATTTTCCTTTCGTCACAAAGCGAACGATAGTAAATTCTTCCAAAATTTTACTTACACAGCTTCCCCCCCCAAAAAAAAAAAAAATAATAATAATAATAATAACCAGGAAAAAAGAGATAGAACAAAAACGTCTCAAAAAGATTCTTGCATCAGATTCACATTTGGCCCGAAAAAAATATCGTGGTGAAACGCAAGTCAAATTCGACCTTAAATACAACAATTTTTGGCTTAGGTCTGGCCCCCCTTTCCCGTGGAAGAGATTTAGATACGTAACATATAACACAGATTCTCTCCACAGACACGTTGCTATTTCTTGGACACAGGAATGGGTTAATGGGTTGATGAGTTAGTGGGTTGATGAGTTGGTGGATTAATGTGTTGGTGAGTTAATGGGTTGATTAGTTGATAGGTTAATGGGTTGGTGGGTTAATGAGTTAATGGGTTGATGGGTTAATGGATACAATTGCAGGGGAGCTGATGATCCTCGTTGAATACTGCCGATTCGGGAACATTCTGGACTTCATGAGGAGGAACCACAGGACCTTCGTGAACCAGCTCGACCCGGAGACAGACACCATCAACCCGTGCGTGGCGAGGCTGCCGCAGGAGAACTTCAGGTGGGGGCCAGGGCGGAGTGCGTTTCGCGAGGTGTTTGAGCATTGGGATAATTGCGGTATTATATATTGCCATCGTCAACATCATCTTCATCATTATTAATCTACTAATACCTGCATCTTAACCACCACCACCACCCTCATTAGCAGCAGCAGCAGTAGTAGTAGTAGTAGTACCACCACACCACAAGCACCACCATAAGCACCACAAGCACCACACCACCATCACCATCATCACCACCCTCGCCGCCACCACTACCCCCATCATCACCATGACCATCACCAGCCTTCATCACTCCTTTCGCCACCTACTAACGTCCTCCACGACGCCAGGAACTCCGTCTCCGACATCGTGTACATCAGCGAGGGCCGCGTCGCCTTCCAGAAGATCGACAGCAACGCCACCTGTCCTGGCATCTTCCCGACGTCTCGCGAGGTACGGAGGATGGATGATAAATAGTGCATGAGGCTTTCGAATTACTGAAATTGTTTTTGATGGTGTATATTGTAATTAGATCCTTTTCCTTCTAGAGATAAAGTGACTAGGCTTATGCGTTAATTCTGTATATAGTCACTTCTTGCTTCTGAGTGAATATATACGAAAAGATACCTTTAAATCAGGTTCACGTTTCATTGTAGAATAACTCTCAGTATAACAAATAATCATGAAACACTGAGCAAGGATCACTGACATCGTTAGCGAAATCTCTTCATGGCGCAGGTGCTTCTGGGCAGCACGCAGCAGTCCCAGGCTTTCACCAACGTCGACTCCGAGATGAGTACTGTGACGCTGAGTAAGATCCTCTTGTTACTGTAATTGTTTTTGTTAGTATCATCTTTACTATTACTGCTGGTATGGTGGTAGTAGAAGTACTTTGCTAATCGTGCTACCATTTATAGTAGTAACTGTAGCATTGTCATGAATGAGACTTGCATTTAGTAGAGTTATGGACACCTCTAGTCAATACAGTATTTGTTTCTCGGGTAGCAACTATGAGCAAAATTACAAACATTTGCAGAAACTTCCTCGGGATAACAATGAATTTATCCACTCTTTTCCACGGAAAGTATCCAGTTCTTTAACTTTTCGAACGTATTAAATCCGCGGCCCTTCCCTTTTGTTGCCAGTCAGTGACACGCACAACATGGAGGCCCCCAGCGCCCCGTCCGACCCCGAGGAGAGAGACAAGCCCCTGTGTTCCCGAGATCTCCTGTGCTGGGCCTTCCAGGTGGCGCGGGGCATGGAGTACCTCGCGTTCAAGAAGGTATTCGGAGGGGCACGTCGTGAATAGAAGCCGTTTCTTAATTTCGTTTTTTTTTTCTTTCTTTCTTTTTCTGCGTGTGCGTGTATATAATTCCCATGTTCGTTTATTCCATATGTGGCGTTTTGTTTTGTTTTGTTCTTTTATTGTTTCAAATGATTGATGTTAATTGTTATTTATCTATTTAAGAAGTAAAATGTGGTTTTTGATCATTAAGTTAGTCCTTTTTAAAGTTTGAAAGGCACGTGTAAGCATTAAAAATGATAAATCTTTTCACTATCACATTTTTTTATAATCTAGCATGAAAAAAAATCCATGATAATTTCGGGATGATCATTAGCACAAGAATGAATCCCCTCTTATCACAACTAACATCATTCGCACCTTTCCCTCTTTCCCCCCCTTCATTCATCCATCCCCTCCCTTTATCTAATCATTTCCCTTTCCATCCTACTTTCCCTCTCCATCCCCGAGGTGCTGCACGGCGATCTGGCCGCGAGAAACATCCTGCTGTGCGAGAAGAACGTCGTCAAGATCAGCGACTTCGGACTCGCCAAGGACATCTACAAGGACGAGAATTACAGGAAGAGCAAGAACGTTAGTGATGAATTTAGAGGGTTGAGTTCTTGGGACTGAGTTGCGAGTGCTGTTTTTCGGGTACTGTTTCGAATGCTGTGTTTCGGGTACTGTTTCGAATGCTGTGTTTCGGGTACTGTTCGAATCGAATAGTTTCGAATGCTGTGTTTTGGGTACTGTTTCGAATGCTGTGTTTCGGGTAGTTTCGAATGCTGTGTTTCGGGTACTTTCGAATGCTGTGTTTCGTTTCGAATGCTGTGTTTCGTGCTGTTTCGAATGCTGTGTTTCGGGTAGTTTCGAATGCTGTGTTTCGGGTGCTGTTTCGAATGCTGTGGTTCGGGTAGTTTCGAATGCTGTGTTTCGGTGCTGTTTCGAATGCTGTGTTTCGGGTAGTTTCGAATGCTGTGTTTCGGGTACTGTTTCGAATGCTGTGTTTCGGGTACTGTTTCGAATGCTGTGTTTCGGGTACTGTTTCGAATGCTGTGTTTCGGGTAGTTTCGAATGCTGTGTTTTGGGTACTGTTTCGAATGCTGTGTTTCGGGTAGTTTCTGTGTTTCCTGTTCGAATGCTGTGTTTTCGGGTAGTTTCGAATGCTGTGTTTTGGGTACTGTTTCGAATGCTGTGTTCGGGTAGTTTCGAATGCTGTGTTTCGGGTGCTGTTTTCAATGCTGTGTTTCGGGCTAGTTTCGAATGCTGTGTTTCGGGTGCTGTTTCGAATGCTGTGTTTTCGGGTAGTTTCGAAACTGTTTCGGGTAATGCTGTTTCGGGTACTGTTTCCAATGCTGTGTTTCGGGTACTGTTTCGAATGCTGTGTTCGTTTCGAATGCTGGTTTTGTACTGTTTCGAATGCTGTGTTTCGGGGTACTGTTTTCGAATGCTGTGTTTTCGGGTTTCTGCTGTGTTTCGAGTACTGTTTCGAATGCTGTGTTTCGAGTACTGTTTCGAATGCTGTGTTTCGTTTCGAATGCTGTGTTTCGGGTACTGTTTCGAATGCTGTGTTTCGGGTACTGTTTCGAATGCTGTGTTTCGTACTGTTTCGAATGCTGTGTTTCGAGTTTCGAATGCTGTGTTTCGGGTACTGTTCGAATGCTGTGGTTCTTGTTTCAAATGCTGTGTTTCGGGTACTGTTTCGAATGCTGTGTTTCGAGTACTGAGTTTCGAGTGCTAAGTTTTGAATGCTGAGTTCCGAATGCTGCGTTTTTGAGTGCTGTGTTTTGAGTACTGAATTTCGAGTGCTAAGTTTTGAGTGCTGAGGGGAATGGGGATTGGGAATGTTGGAGGTGATGGTTGTAGGAGTTTAGTTTTGTTATTGTGGTTGTTGATTTTTTTTCTTTTTTTTTTTCCCTCTTCCTGCTCTTCTTTATCAACTTCCTCTTATTTTCTTTTTTTTTCTTATTCCTTTTTCCTCCTCCTCCCCCCCCTTCGTCCTCGTCCTGTTTCTACTCCTCCTCTTTCTTTTTTTCTTCCTCTTCTTCCTGCTCCTCCTTTTTCTTCTTCTTCTTCTTCTCCTCCTCCGTCGCCTTCTCCTCCTCCTCTTTCTTCCTCTTCTTTTTTCTCCTCCTCCTCCTCCTTCCTTCTTCCTCCTCGTTCTCCTTCCTCCCTCCTCCTCCTCCTCCTCCTCCTCTCCTCCTCTCCTCCTCCTCCTCTTCCACCTCCTCCTCCTCTTCCACCTCCTCATCCTCCTCTTTTTCCACCTTTCCTCCTCCTGCAGGCGCCACTGCCGGTGAAGTGGATGTCCGTGGAAGCGCTCCGGGATGGAATCTTCTCGACGCAGAGTGACGTGTGGGCCTTCGGAGTTGTCGTGTGGGAGATGTTCAGGTATTTATACTTTCCTGGGGATTCAGGCATTTATAATTTCTTGAGGATTTAGGTATTTATACTTTCCTGGGGATTAAGGTATTTATACTTTCACGGGGATTCAGGCATTTATAATTTCTTGAGGATTTAGGTATTTATACTTTCCTGGGGATTAAGGTATTTATACTTTCACGGGGATTCAGGCATTTATAATTTCTTGAGGATTTAGGTATTTATACTTTCCTGGGGATTCAGGCATTTATAATTTCTTGAGGATTTAGGTATTTATACTTTCCTGGGGATTAAGGTATTTATACTTTCACGGGGATTCAGGCATTTATAATTTCTTGGGGATTCATGTCTTTATACTTTCACGGGGATTCTGGCATTTATATTTTGGGGGGATTTAGGTATCCATTCTTTCCTATTGATTCAGGTATTAATATTATCTTGGAAATTCAGGTATTTATACTTTATTGGAGATTCAAGTACTTTCATTTTCTTGGAGATTCAGGTATTTATACTTGGAAATTCAGATGTTTATATTATCTGGGAGAGATATCAATTCCGTTTGTGTATTCTTACATTATTTATTTCTTACTCTTATTCTTATTTATTATTATTATTGTATTATGTAGTTGACTCGATTTCTTTGCTCTTGATTATGGATTCCCTTAATCACGTGTTTTTTTCTTATGAATTCCTTTCCTTCTGTTTTTCTGTTTTTATTCCGTCTTATTTATACATATTGGCCAACTGTTTTTTTTCCAGAAAATAACTGAATCGATTTTACTATCTATATATTACTATCTTTTATATACCTACCGACTTATCTTTTTATCTATTTATATGTATATCAATCTACCTGCCTACCTACCTACCCATCTATCTATCTAAACATCCATATATCTACCTACCTTGTCATTAATCTACATACCTCCCTATTTATCTAAACATCCATATATCTATCTACCTTCTCACCAATCTACATACCTGCCTACCTATCTAAACATCCATATATCCACCCATCTACCTCTCTATCTAAATATCCATATATCTAAATACTTATCTATCTATCTACTTACCTATCTAAATATCCATATATCTAAATACTTATCTGTCTATCTACTTACCTATCTAAATATCCATATATTTAACTACTTATCTATCTACCTACCTATCTAAATATCCATATACCCACCCATCTACCTACCTATCCATCTAAATATCCATATACCCACCCATCTACCTACCTATCCATTTAAATATCCATATACCCACCCATCTACCTACCTATCCATCTAAATATCCATATACCCACCCATCTACCTACCTATCCATCTAAATATCCATATACCCACCCATCTACCCACCCATCTACCTACCTATCCATCTAAATATCCATATACCCCCATCTACCTACCTATCCATCTAAATATCCATATTATACCTATCCATCTAAATATCCATATACCCACCCATCTACCTACCTATCCATCTAAATATCCATATACCCACCCATCTACCTACCTATCCATTTAAATATCCATATACCCACCCATCTTACCTATCCATCTAAATATCCATATACCCACCCATCTACCTACCTATCCATTTAAATATCCATATACCCACCCATCTACCTACCTATCCATCTAAATATCCATATATCCATCCATCTACCTACCTACCTATCTATCTATCCACCTCCTTCGCAAACAGCCTCGGGCGGACCCCCTTCCCCGGCATCTCCGTCGACGAGAATTTTGTGAAGAAGCTGGAGTCGGGGTTGAGGATGGAGCGGCCACGGTTCGCCACGGGGGACTTGTGAGTTTTTTTGTTTTTTTTTTTGTTTTCGTTGTTTTTTGTTGCTTGAGGTGTAGATGGTGTTGTCATTGTATATATATATATAATATATATATATATATATATATATAGATAGATAGATAGATAGATAGATAGATAGATAGATAGATAGATAGATAGATAGACAGATAGATAGATAGATAGATAGATAGATAGATAGATAGTTTTTTTTTTTTTTTTGCTTTGCTTTGCTTTGCTTTTTCGCTGTGTTTTTGTTGTTTTTGTTTGAGGAGTACATGTTGGTGTTGTTGTTTTTTTTTATTTTTTTATTCGGCTCGATTGTGCATGTTTTTTTTGGGTTTATGATTGGATGCAGTCGTTGTTGTTGTTCATTGTCAGATTTTTTTTTTTCTGTGTGAATTGCCATAATTGTGATGGCGCATAGGATTGGGAGGATTTGGCACGCCCCGATTATAGCAGGGTATATTTAGAGAGGAAAAAGGGTCCTCATCTTCGTATATATATATATATATATATATATATATATATATATATATATATAGATAGATAGATAGATAGATAGATAGATAGATAGATAGATATAGATAGATATAGATATAGATATAGATATAGATAGGTATATATATAGATATAGATATAGATATATGTATTATATAGATATAGATATAGATATAGATATCAAACCTTGAGTGATTTTTTAGGGGGGGATGATGTGTGTCATACGCTGCTAAAAACTGTATTTCGCCGTCGCTACTAGCCTTTTTATGAAGATAATGATTATATAAGAATAAATACCGAGAGACAAATACACCAACTATTCTCCAGAGACTATTAACCTCGCCTTCCAACGCTTCACCATAAACCACCACCTTCGCCAACAACCACGACGCACAATACGTGATCTAAGGATGCCCATCTTTTCTTCTCCTGCAGATACAAGGTCATGCACGACTGCTGGAGGACTAAGCCCGAGGGACGGCCCTCCTTCGGGGAGTTGGAGAAGACCTTGAGCCGGATGCTGAGCGAAGGGGACAGGGCGGTGAGGGCGTGTGTGTGTGTGTGTGTGTGTGTGTGTGTGTGTGTGTGTGTGTGTGTGTGTGTGTGTGTGGTGTGTGTGTGTGTGTGTGTGTGTGTGTTGTGTGTGTGTGTGTGTGTGTGTGTGTGTGTGTTGAAATGTCTTGTTAATTCAAACCTTCATATGCACATGAGAATCGATATATATATGACTAAACTGCCTTAATGTGAAAATATCGACGTTTATATTACAGTTGAAAGCTTGAATTAACAAAATATTTGATAAACGCAGTTGGTCTGAGAACACCTTTGCACTCGCATACCTTCATATATTTACACATACACATATGTGTATTTGTATTACCATTTGCAGTATCAAAGTAGAATGTATTCGTGTATTCCATAAATGGTCATCAACAATATCAAAATTACATAATTTCTCTTTTGTCATTGGTTCGTACCCTTCCAAGGCTAATTCCACACCAAAATCATAATCACGAGTATCACTACAAGTCAAAGCCGATTGGGGGCGGCACCTTCTCTGCCTTACGACTCCCTCTCCACAGTATCTGGACAAGATCCAGGAGCCCTACAACGAGGAGGACGCGGCCGGGGACGAAGGCCACAGTTTCTACATGGACATGGCGTGCAAGCCCACACGCTGCGACCCCGTGCAACAGGAATCCCCCGCGTCTCCCGAAGTCGGTTCCTCGGCTGTAGACACCCCTCAAAGCACAACTCCGGCCGCCTCGTCCACGCTGCAGCCGCCTTCGACGTCCTCGGGTCTCCGCCCTTCGACGCCCGCGAGTCTTGAGCCCTCGACGGATGCGAAGAAAGGCTACGTGGTCCTGGCGTCGCTGGGTCGCCTCCTGGGCCAGAGGGAGGCGGGCAGCCCTTTCGAGGAGGAGGGCCCCGTCTACAAGAACATCGAGGGCGCCAGAGACAGGCAGGAGCTCGGCCAGGATGAGTGTGTGAATGTGGAAGACCTTTTCCATTCGGATTAGCCTTTTCTTGCACAGTTGCGTTGGCTTTTTTTTTTTTTTAGTTTCCTTTCGACTTATTTTTATCTTATCTCTCACTGAAAACTTTGAACAAAAATTGCAATAGATAATAGGTAGAAAGATCCAGGGGCGGTTCTCACGAAGGGTCTTTGCGATTTCGTCTATGGTTTGCCACTTTGCCACGTGTCAAAATTAATGCTAGTTACAGAACAAACATTTAAATCATTGCAGACCCTATTTTGATATTCTGTTGTGATAGGTAAATATGACAATAAATCTTGCTTATATCATAATCTTGCACAGTTAGTATGTTTAAATGTGACCTGGCATCCCTACGCGTATTGTCATTGCATCGGTTGTAAAGACGAGCAGCGTTATTTTGTATGCTTAAGAAAAGGCAGCATGAGATATGTAGGAGACGGCTCAATTAAATATTAATAATCTATCAAAAGTGACCTCGAAGCTTTTACTTATTATTTCCAAAGGGGAATAGTGTGCAAGTGAGGAAAATTTGCATAAGGATAAATTAAAGACAGTCCTTCCATGTAAAGACAAAATTAACGAGAAAATATTAGTGAAATAGAAATGAGTAAATTAACGATAGACAATATATCAAAAAGGGCTTCCAAGTTTTTCTATCATATTCGATGCAGAATTATCTTTAAAGACAGTCCTTCCGCACGTGGAACACTTCCACACCTGCTCTACCAGTC